TCAGCAAGACAGTCATGGGATAGAATCATGGCCTTTCTGGGTACAGTTTGCATGTTCTCTCTGTGCACGTGTGGGTTTTTTCCAGGCACTCCAGTTTCCTTCTACAAAGAAAAACATGCATGTTAGGCTGATTGGTAACTCTAAATTGTCTCTAGGTGTGAGTGAGAGAGTGAATGGTTGTTTGTCTCATTTGTCTCTATGTGTCCCTGAGATGGACTTGGACCTGTCCAGGGTGTACCCCACCTCACAGTGACTGCTGGGTATGGGCACCAGTGAACCAAGACCTTAAAAGGAAGAAGCAGATAAAGATATTGGATGGGTGTTTTTCCAGTCCATGAACTGGGGATTCAAGTAAACCATAATGTTTTTGGTGAAAGATATTCAAGTGGGTTGGAGTTACACTGTGGACACATAAACTGCTGAGTTACACTGTGTTTAAGGAGATTTATTTTTTGTCCTTCTCTGAGGCAGAGTGACAGACTTTGACAAGTGAAGGGAACACTTTTATTTACCATCAAGTCCAATGGCAGAGTCAGGAGGTAGACAATGATCGCCATGGCCATAGAATAATCTTGAGCTACCCCCCAAGGGCTGAGGGTGGAAGTGTATCATGGCAGGAACAAAGGAGATTTCTGAGGATCTCAGAGAAAGGGTTGTTGATGCTCATCAGGCAGAAAAAGATTAAAAAACATCTCTAAAGAGTTTGGATTCCATCAGTCCACAGTCAGACAGATTGTGTACAAATGTAGAAAATTTAAGACCATTGTTACCCGCTCCAAGAGTGGTTGACCAACAAAGATCATTCCAAGAACAAGGAGTGGAATGGTCAGCGAGGTCACAAAGGACCCCAGGGTAACTTCTTAGTAGCTGAAGGCCTCTCTCACATTGACTGATGTTAATGTTCATGAGTCCACCATCAGGAGAACACTGAACAATGGTGTGCATGGCAGGGTTGAAGTAGAAATTCAGAAAGAACATTGCTGCTCGTCTGCAGTTTGATAAAGAACATGTGGACAAGCCAGAAGACAGTTGGAAGAATGTTTTGTGTACAAATGAGACCAAAATAAAACTTTTGGTTTAAATAAAAAGTGTTAAGTTTTGGCGAATGGAAAATTCTGCATTCCTACATAAGAACCTTATTCCATCTGTGAAACATGGTGGTAGTATCATGGTTTGGACCCGTTTTGTTGCATCTGGGTCAGGAAGGCTTTCCATCATTGATGAAACAATGAATTCTGAATTATATCTGAGAATTATCAAGGAAAACGTCAGGACATGTGTCCATAAACTGAATCTCAAAAGAAAGTGTGTCATGTACAGAGCAAGACAATGACTCTTAAGCACACAAGTCATTCTACCAAAGAATGGTTAAAGAAGAATAAAATTCATGTTTTGGAATGGTCAAGTCAAAGTCCTGACCTAAATCCAATCCAAATGATGTGGAAGGACCTGAAGCAGCAGTTAATGTGAGGAAACCACCAACATCCCAGAGTTGAAGCTGTTCTGTACGGAGGACCAGACACTGAAAGCAACGTTCACATGCTTTTGCCTCTCACAACTATGCAAAATTGTCTCATCTTCTTAATAAAGTCAAGTCTAATATTTTTTGTTCATTTGTTTAAATGTTTGTCTACTTTCCGAACTTGTATGAAAATCTGATGATGTTTTAGGACATATTTATGAAGAAATATAGAAAATTCTAAAGAAAATCTAAAATAAATTCTAAACAAACTTTCAAGCACCACTGTACAAAATGATTTTTTTTTTCAAATCCCATTTCAAATGTAAAACTGATGAACTTCTTTGTAAGAAAACTGTACTCATCAACAACTAGGACACCGAAGAAAACTGCAAGTGTTCTGACGTTGCAGATGTGTTCACATTTTTTTAACGTACCGCTCTATTAAAGACTAGAAAGTGATTTCACAATTACTGCCTCAGCGTGTGCACCAACCTCAAACTACAGTATAGCTGATTACCATGTGAACTAAGTCAAGAACTGAAAAGCATGTGTTGTAAGACAGATGTATAAACATTTATGCAATCACCCACACCAGCTGTCAAACTTGCATCAATAGGGGGCAGGCTTTGAAAGAAGAGCCAAGATCAGACATTTAAATACTCCGAACATCTGAAAGTACCCGTGCGTTCTCGAGAATGTGACTTTTCATGTACCTGTGGGTTTGGTGTTCCGCTTCACTCCTGCAGTTATCGACCAGCTGTGCAGTTGGAGTTTTGTTCATGCTGTAGCTTGAACTGTCCTGCTGGGATGCAGCCACTCATTCATTCTGAAGGTGCTTCGTCCAGCACAATTCTACAACTCAGCCTTGGTGTACAAAAGCAATTAAAACCAATGCGGTGACTTCATACATCTATAAATCCAGCTGTTGACAGGTTTAAACATAAAAAATACTTTGAGGCCGACTCCTTTAAGCCTTCTTTTACAGCATTCTTTTATCCAACATATTTTCTTGCATTTGCCTAATGCCTTGTAAGACACCAATCAGAAATGTAAACACCTCAGTTTGCACAAAACAGTTGCACATGCACACACACACACACACACACACACACACAGAACTGACAGGGTCACATATGGGATGTGCTCTTAAAGTCTATCAATTTACCAGTGTAAATATTAGTCACTCTCAGAAGGATCAACACTGTAATGAAGTCCTTAAGCTCTACTTTTCTCAAAGCAGATCTCTCATTGGTCTCCTCTGTCCTCAGCTTTTCATCCTTCTCTCATGCTTTCTACATCTTTACATCACCAAAAGCTTCTCACCAGTCATCCAAACATCTCAATTTCCCCCATACTGAAAAATATCCCCTCTCATTCTTTTGACACAGTGAATAATCATCCCATTAACCAATCCACTGTCACTGGAACCTTGAGGATCACTTATAAAACATCTTCAACCAGTCTTCAGAGAGACATCCATCATCCAGGCCAAACAAAATCTTGTCTGTGTGTGCAGCAGACTGGAAATAACTTGTCAATCCGTGAGGGTTCAGATTGTAAAACAAATCTATGTAAAGAGACTTAAAAATGTTGAATGGAAGGAAAAACGTTTGATGCATTTAATAAATGCACACCAAAAGAATATTACCTTATTTGAGGAAGTTTTTCCACTGGCTGTCACTGCTGGGAGATATCTTCAGAACGGCTGGTGTCATTTGCAGCCTTCTCAGCTTTTTTGTTGAGTTGTAGAGGCTTTTTTTTTTTTTTTTTGCTTGTTTTGTACATATTCAAAAATTTGGTGCTTCAAATTTTCTTATAGAGTTATGACGAGCAGCTTAAGCAATTCTGTTTTGTCACAGGCATCACTATTTCGACACCTGAAGAGAAGTTTTCATTTGACAGGAAATATGTTCAAGTCTAAAAATCATGTTAATGGGTCCAAATCTGATTAAACAAGTGCACTCCTGTATGTTTATATCATAAACATGGGAGCAGTTGGGTTCAAAGCAAGCAAACTTTGGTGCAGTGCTGGTGGAGGTGGGCAAGGCTTGTATCAAAATCGAGATAAAAAAAATAAAAATAACAATGGCTGGTTAAAATGGGGCAGCACATCTCACTGGTCACTTAATTCCAGACACAGACTGTGTAGCAAATTTAGCATGTTTTCTTGCAATACCGAGTCAAATTTATGTCGACCAGTCTCAACAGTTGCAGGTCAGAAAGATACTATTAGCAGTAGCTTGGGGAACAATGTCAACTTCTGAAACAGTGCAAAGTATATCAAGGAAAAAAAAACATTGATCATTTTATATTTGGTATTTATTGAAAGAAAAGTAGAGCACTGAGCCAATCTGTAAAAAGTAACAAAATATCAAGTATAAGACTATGTTTACCGAACCTTAAACTTATAGAGAAGCTTATAAATCCACACGGTTGATCTGGCTGAAATAGTTCTCACTGAGAATCATCACAGGGATAGTGGGAAGTTAACAGAGTGGTGGCGACGCTAACATCTGAACATCTGCGACAGAACACAAAACAAGGTAACGGCAAAGCTGAACAAACGTGAGAGGATTTTGTTTCAGGACATTAAGGTGCATTTCCCTTTTACAAAAAAAAATAAAATAAAAAAAAAACAGTGAAGACCTGCAGCAGTGAAAATTAAAAATCTGAAAAGTGACCTTAAAAATGTATCATCGTTAGACTAAATATTCACCTGTTATGAAAACAATACTTTTCTTTCTTTAAGCTTAAAGGAAGATTTAGTTAAAAAAATAAATACAGTTTATTGATTGACTGAATAGACTATGCTATAATATATACACAGAGCGCCTATGAGTTCACCACTGTCACCACAACATTGCCCGTACATATCTGAACCACAATAAGTACTGTAGAATAATGCTATATGGATACTGTGAATTAATATGGGGAAAGGAATAAGACTAAAGCATGGATAACTGAGTAAGAGCTGAGGGACAGTCAGACAGGTGTATCAAAGTGCAGAATGAAGGAGGGCTTGTTGCAGCACCAGGGGAACAATTCTGGGTCAGAAATGGCCCAGTACACCCCTCACACCACCCCCCCAAAGTAGCCATCTCATAGTAGGACTTGCGCAGACCAAAGAATGTCCTTTACAGTACATGCGGTGAGAGGTGGTGAGTAAAGATCGTCACACAAGCATTCTTCTCAACAGAATTTCCAATGTCTTATTAGAACCACCTATGAAAACTCTAAAGCCTCCATCCTGATAAAAAAAGAAAAGAAAAGAATAGAAGGCACGATCCATTTTTTTTTCCCCCAGTTGGTATTTATCAGCACGAGCTGCTTGATAAAATTCAAACCAAAAAAAAAAAAGAACTTTTTTAAAACCATTTTCTAAAGAGTTAGGAGGAAATGGGGGCAGGTTTTGAGCCAGTGTGGGGCAATTGCTAGGTTTAGAAAATTATCTGAGGACAACCGGGTCAGAATTAAAACATACCGATCTTGAAATAAATATTTCACAATATTCTCAGTTTCTACAAACATTTTTGTTGTTTTTTTTTTTTTTTTTTTTTTTTTTCAAAGACATAATTGTTTAACTCTATAAATATAATTTATATAGTTTCTTTCTTCCGTTCGCGCTCCCCCTCTGTTCCACCGCTGAAGAACTCTCACAAGTGAACGCCCATCATCCGCAAGTCGACGCGTCTCTTCTCACTTGCAGACAAATTGGTCTACAATTCTGGTGCAGCGCTTGCACTTGACATAGCAGCACCAGTGGAACTTGCAGTGGCAGCGCTCCACAATCTGGGCCTTGTACTGGTCGTAACCCCTGCCGCAGCACATCAGCTCGCACCCATCCATGCCCTCTGAGGTTTTGTTGCAGAGGCGCCCCACCGTGCCCAGGGAGCCTGTGCTTTGGTTCTTCAAGCAGTAGTCTGGACTGGGTTCGATGTACACCAAATCGTGATTTGTGGGAGGGTTGAACTTGCTGTGCATCTGCACCAGTTTCCCACGTGGGTTGAGTTTCATGGCAGCAGCGCTGTCATATTTCTCCTTGAGTGCGTCTCCCACCTTACGGAAGTCGGCCAACTGCAGCCAGCAGGTCTTGAGGCTGCAGGAGCCAGACACGCCATGGCACTTGCATTGAGCATCTGCAAGGTCTGACACCATCTTAAAGACAAAATGACAAAAGTGGACTTTGAATAAATAAAACACAGGGCAAACATGGTTTTTGTTTCGTTTATTGTGAAACTGCTCAAGTTGCATGCATTTAGCAGATATGATGCTTACACCCTCATAAGGAAGCATTTTTCTTTTGTAAAAAAAAGATCTTGTTTGTCTCCAATCAAACAATAAAAGGCTGTCCACTCATTTGTTCTACTTGAGAACAAATGAGGCCAGGAAGAAAGCACCCTAGACATATATATAGTGTTCTGTTTTCTTGAAGTGGATTCAAGATGTTTGGAAAAGAAATACCCCAGTTCTGTTTCCAACAACTCTATTTCCCCACAGATCAAAGCTACAGAAGAAGTGAGCAAATGGAGCTGCTGGCCAGATGATCAACAGAGATCTGTCTGATGGCCTTGGATCATCTTTCAGTATCTGCCATTCGTTGGTATTTTAGAGTTTGCAGCTTCCATTGTTCTATTAGTTTCTTATCAGATCACAGAAAAAATTGTGTGTCTTACCCTTCTTCCTGCCTCGTTGTTGTGAATGTTCATCAGCAGCCGTGCGCTCTCATATGAGCCTTTTGGATAGCTCTTCTCCCTCTCACTTGCATCCACGAACTCCTTGGAGAACCTGTAGCCATAGTTCAGGTTATCTCCACAGCCACCCCACAGCCAGTCTCTGGGAAGATCTTTGGGGCGAGCCGCACGACTGCACCCACAGCTGGAGAGCTCGCCCTCTTTGCAGGCACGGCTCAC